ATCCCTTGGAATTATAACAACAGAATACAGAGATCAGTTCCCCTGGAGAAAACGGATGCTTTGGAGGGTGGACGGTATGGCATTGTGCCCCAATGAGGTCTATCACTTCCCCCAAACCCCACCTCTCCAGGTTCCACCCCCAGTCTCTAAAAATTTCCCAGCCGGGAGTTGGCAACTCTGGTTTGCTCACATTCTTCTGATATAACGTTGCTCTCCTCATTTTGAAATTTCATTTATGGTCTCCTTGGAACATCTCCTTTTCTCTTTCGCTCTCTGCCTATTATTAGGGTTACCAACCACCAGGTGGGGCCTGGGGTTCTCCCCAAATTACAACTCATCTCCAGACTTCAAAGATCTGCTTCCTTACAGGAAATGGCAGGTCTGGAGGGTAAGGACGCGATGTGCCGACGTCCCCATTGAGCGCCTTCCCTCTCCAAAACGCCACACTCTGCAAACTCCGCCCCCAAATCTCCAGGGATTTCCCATACTTGTATTGGCAACCTTGGCCTATAGTGTTCTGTAAAGTACCATGCATGCCGCTGCCACTTTCTTAACGGTGCAGCCGGACTAATAGCAGAAAACACCTCTGTCACCATCACTTTCAGCTCAGGTCAATCCAACAGGCCTGCCCAACCCGGGAGCGTCATGGCTCACTTGTGATTCAAGAAGAACCTCCTCCGGGAGACCAGGCCCCCAAAAGTCAGCCAACAGTTGTTCTTCCATCTCTCAGGCTGTGCACGTGCCATGAATGACTGTTGTGGGTACAAGTGGCCTGTATATTGGGACAGGGTGAACCCTGGAAGAACCTCTGGCGATTCCTTTGCGAGGGAGCAGAGCAACCTAAAGGGAAGGAACTTGAAAGTGCCATCGAATTGCAGCCGACTTACGGGCCATAAGTCATGGTGACCCGCGTAGGGCTTTGAAGGCAGAGTCCGGCCTCCTTTGCCACGGGGTTGCCAGCCTCCAGGTGGTGGGTGGTGATCTCCTGGAATGACAACTGATCTCCAGGCAAGAGAGGCCAGTCCCCTGGGAGGAAATGGCCACTCTGGAGGTGAGACTCTATGGAATTATGCCCCCACTGAGTCGTTCCCCCCCCCCAATTATGCCTTCCCTAGGCTCTGCCCCCAGATCTCCAGGAATCTCCCAAGCCAGTGCTGGGGCTCCTACTGTGTGTGTAGCAAGCCTGGACTTCCTGGGTGGTCCAGGGCTGGCTCACCCACTAGGCGAACTAGGCATTCGCCTAGAGCGCCGGATCCTGGATGGGGCACCAAGCTGTGCCTCCCCCCCCTTTGGTGGTGGTGGGGGCGGGGGGGAAGAGGCGGTGGTGGCGGCAGCAAAAGGGTGGCTGTCTCCAGAGGTCTCCAGGTCCCACCGGGAGGTTGGTATCTGCACCACAAGGCAGCCTTGCCTAGGGCGCAGAAACACCTCGAGCGGTCTCATCCAAGCCATATCCCTGCTTAGCTTCCGAGATCTGGCTAGCCTGGGCCCTCCAGGGTGAACTAGTTCTTCCTCTTCTCCTCTCCTCTTCTGTCTTGCCGCTGTTTTCCCCTGCACCTTCTGATCCGCAGCACAGGCTACACTCCCCCTCCCACGCCTGTCCAGGAGCCAAAGGAGACTAGTTTAGCTCGCTTTAATCTCTCCCTACCTCCAGCTAGTGCCTTCGCCTTGATAAGGGGGGGTTTGCCTCCTCTGAACTCCTTCCCGCTCTCATTTCCTCTCTCCGTGAACTACAGGCAAGCTCCGGAGCACGGGCTCTGGAGGTAGGTAGCAGGGCTTACGCAGCAGCGTAGGGCTTTAGAGCTGCCAACTCTGGGGTGGGGGAACTCCTGGAGATTTGGGGGCGGAGCCTAGGGACAGTGGGGGCTTAGGGAGGGGAGGGGCCTCAGCAGGGTATAATGCCTCAGAGTTCCACCTTCCAGAGCAGGGAGACTGATCTCTTTCGTCTGGAGATCAGCTGTAATTCTGGGAGGTCTCCAGGCCCCACCTGGAGGTTGGCAATCGGCCTTTGGGGGCTGGCCTAGCCATTTGAAGGGTCTTGCAGTGGAACAGGTCAACTTCCCACCAGGAGAGTCTGGGCTGAAAGAATACGTTAACACTGCGTCGTGTCGGAACATTGTGGAATTGGCAGGTTAGCATGGAAATAGGCACGGCTGCAAGCGCAAAGGAGTGTGTGTTGGAATTTGGAGCTGTCCCCCAAGCAGTATAAGGAGACGCTTTTGTAGAATATTTGAAATTGGGTGGAAAATACTTTTCTTGGAGGAAAGGAAAAACCAGAGAATGAAAGGGGTGATTGGGGAGAAACAATAATACGTTGTTTATGATGAATACTGTGTCTTCCAATACAGGTCCTAAGATGGAAAATTAAAGCCAGGGGAAATGGATTGTAGTTTGCAGGATACGGGCTGAAGTGTGGAAGAGGCAGGAGACAGAACCTCCCTGGTAGGGTCATCAGGTCCCTTCCTTGCCACCAGCAGGGGCTGGGGGGGTAGGGTTGCCAGATCCAGGCTGGGAAACTCCTGGAGATTTGGTGGGTGGAGCCTGGGGAGGACAGGGGCCTCAGTGGGTTACAATGCCACGGAGCCCACCCTCCAAAGCAGCCATTTTCTCCAGGGGAACTGATCCCTGTAGTCTGGAGATGAGCTGTAATTCCGGCGGATCCCCAGGTCCCACCTGGAGGCTGGCAATTTGGGGGCAGAGGCTGAGGAAGGCAGGGTTTGGGGAGGATAGGGATGCCAGTGGGGCATATTGTCGTTTCAAAGCAGCCATTTTCTTCATGGAAACTGGTCTCTGTCAGCTGTAATTCTGGGTGACTGTCAGGCCACACCTGGAGGTTGGCAACCCTAGGAGGGAAGGAGGAGATGGAAACGGAAGGCACTAGAGGATTATGGGCCAGGCCCACTGATACAAGCCGTGGCTGTTGCTCAGTTGGTGACAGGGGGCGAGGGATGCCAGCCGGGGGGCTAGGAGTGCCCCTCACAGGCTTTCAGGATAGGGTGCCAGCTCTGGGTTGGGAAATACCTGGAGATTTGGAGGATGGAGCCTGGGGAGGGCAGGGTTTGGGGACGGGAGGAACCTCAGCGTGGTGGAATGCCATAGAGTCCCCCTCTCAAAGCAGCCATTTTCCCCCCCACAGGGGAACTGATCCCGATCATCTGAAGAGCAGTTGTAACAGCAGGAGATATCCAGGTCCCACCTGGAGGTTGGCAGCCCTATCTCAGACAGACCTCCCTGACAGGGTTGTGAGGATAAAATGGAGGACAAGAGAATGATTTGAGCCACTTGGGTGGGCCACTTGCATGCCCTTAGCAAGACCTACCTCATGGGGTAGTTGTGAGGATAAAATGGGGGGTGGGGATGATGTAAACTGCTTGAGATTCCCAGAGTATAGATGAAGTCGATAAATAAAATCTGCAACAGTTTATTGGGCGCCCCAACGAGCCACATTCAACTGCTCCTTGTGGGCCGTTTGTCCCCATGAGTGGGAGACTGCCTGGGAGGACGGTTTGCAATTTCCTTGCAATGATTTAGGGCTGCTCCCTAAAAGAAATACTACTTTACACAGAGAATGATTAAATTGTGGAATTCGCTGCCGGAGGGTGTCGCGATGGCCACAGGGGTAGACAGTTTTAAAAGGGGATGAGATAGATTCACGGAGGATAAGTCTATCGATGGCGACTAGCCACGGGGACTGAAGGGAACCTCCCCGTTCAGAGGTACTAAACCTCTGAATCCCAGAGCCAGGAGGCCAGATCAGGGGAAGGCCTCAGTCTCTATGCCCTGTTAAGAACATAAGAACATAAGAGATGCCAATGTTGGATCAGGCCAAAGGCCCATCCAGTCCAACACTCTGTATCACACAGTGGCCAGAAATACTAGTGCCATCAGGAGGTCCACCAGTGGGGGCAGGACATTAGAAGCCCTCCCACTGTTGACCCACCCCAAGCACCAAGAAGACAGAGCATCACTTGCCCCAGAGCCCCTATCTATACCTTGTGGCTAATAGCCACTGATGCACCTCTGCTCCATATGCCTATCTAATTCCCTTTTGAAGCCGTCCATGCTTGTAGCCGCCACCACTTCCTGTTGTTGGTCGTTGTTGGTCCTCTGGAGGAACTGGTTGGCCGCTGTATGAGACAGGAGGCTGGACTAGATGGACTGCTGGTCTGATCCAGCAGGGCTCTTCTTATGTTCTTGTTCTACTAGGAAAAGCTTTGCCTATTGAACCTTCCCATTCAGAGGCACTAAACCTCTGAATTCCAGAGCCAGGGGAAGACCTCATCTTCTATGCACTGTTGTTGGTCCTCCAGAGGAACTGGTTGGCCACTGTATGAGACAGGATGCTGGACTAGATAGACCCCTGGTCTGACCCAGCAGAGCTCTTCTTATATCCTTGTTCTACAAGGAGAAGCTTTACCTATTGAACCTCCACTTTCAGAGGCACTAATCCTCTGAATCCCAGAGCCAGGAGGCAACATCAGGGAAAGTCTTGGCCTCTATGCCCTGTTGTTGCCCATCCAGAGGAACTGGTTGGCTGCTGTGTGATGCTGGACTAGATGGACCCCTGGTCTGATCCAGCAGAGCTCTTCTTCTGTTCTTCTGTACCTCAAAATCCAGCGCTTGAGGCAGAACCCCCACCTCCCCACCCCGTGCCTTTAAAGGGCTGGTTCCCTGCAATGACAGAACCAACCTAGCTGAAAGGAACTCAGGCAACCGAGCAACCTTCCCCTCCGGGAATGGCTCCCTGCTGGGGCTTGGGGTGCCGTTGCTGAGCGGCGGAGGAAAGTCAGACTTGGCTCATAGCTACAGGAACAAAAGGGGCAGGGATTAAGGAGCCGCAGAGAATGTTCCAAGTGGCAGAGGGCAGGTATAAATCCAGCATGCCCTGGCCATGCATCACCCGGGCAAATCCAGTCCGTTCCCTTTCTCTTGGCATCAGTTGGGTGGTGTTGGATCCAGCTTGTCTATTTATTTAGGTGTTTACACTGTGCTTTTCTCCCCAGTGGAGGAGAGACCCTAAGCAGCTTGCAACAGCCTTCTCGCCATCTCCATTTTCTCGTCGTAACAACAACCCGGTGAGGTAGGATAAGGCGAGCGAGTGTGATGGGGGCAAGGTCACCCAGGGAAATTTGAATCTCCCCCCCTCCCCAGATCTTAGACTGGCACTCTGACCGGTGCACAAGACTGACCCACGCTTGTAGGTTTGCCAAACTCCAGGTGGTGGCTGGAGATCTCTCACTATTTCAACTGATCTCCAGAGATCAGTTCACCTGGAGTTTCCGTGGCCGGGTGTGGATTCGAACCTGGGTCTCCCAGGTCTTGAGTCTGACACTCTCACTGTAACCACCATACCACTATGGCTCTCAACATCCCAGCAATATTACAGCCATTCCCAGATCCTGATGTCAAAATGCAGGAGCATTCTGATTGGTCAAGCAGGGGAAGGCGGGATTGTCCCTGTACATGGGGGAGGCTCTCCTTGGCTGTATCCAAGCCCTACTGACTGAGGATGTACCTACTTCTGCTCACCCAGCACTGGCCTCCCAGTCAACATGGGTGATTTAGGGTTCCAGGGCTCTTTTTGTAGAAAAAGCCCAGCAGGAACTCATTAGCATAATAGGCCACACCCAACAGCAGGAAATCATTAGCATATTGGGCCACACCCCTGACAGCACAGCTCATTAGCACATTAGGCCGCACCCACATGTTACCAGAAGTGTGGTCATCCAGCCACACCCACCTTTTGCTTGTTATTCTGTTTGGACAACTTGGGAGCCAGCTGGAACTCTGTTCCTGTGTGTTCCTGCCCAAAAATAGCCCTGAGGGTTGCCATCTCTGGGTTGGGAACTACCTGGAGATTTGGGGAGTGGAGCCTTAGGAGGGTGGGGTTTGGAGAGGGAAAGGACTCCAGTATATACAATGCCACAAGAGCCCACCTTCCAAAGCGGCCACTGTCTCCAGGTGAACTGATTTCTGGCGCCCGGAGATCAGTTGTATTCTAGGGTTGCCAACTCCCACTTGGGATATACCTGGAGATTTGGGGGTGGAGCCATTGGTTGCAATGCCACAGAGTCCACCTTCCAAAGCATCCCTTTTCTCCAGGGGAACTGATCTCTGTAGTCTGGGGATCAGTTGTGATCCCGAAGGATCTCCAGTCCCCACCTGGAAGCTGGCAACCATAGTTGTATCCCAGCAGTTCTCCAGACACCACCAGGAGGTTGGCAACCCTTGGGGGAAGTGGGATGTCCTGGATTGGCTTTTCTTTCTTTTACTTTAAATAAGTGGTGGAGGGCCCATTATCAGATGAAGTCTGTCTTGCTGGGTGGTGTGAGGGTTAGCTCTTCCCCTGCCCCATTTATTTTTTATTTTATTGGGCTCAGGGCGGGGAACAGCACTGTTAAAGCAGTACCATAAATGAATTATTAAAAACCAACGATCACCCCAATAAGTTTAAAAGTCAAGTCAGATGGCAATATAAGGCACAAGTAGCACAAGTTATCCAAGTGAGGTTGTGCAGCCTGCGTAAGGTAAAGGTAAAGGTTCCCTTGCTCGAAAGCCAGTCGAATCCGACTCTAGGATTGTGGTGCTCATCTCTGTTTCAAAGCCGAAGAGCCAGCGCTGTCCGAAGACGTTTCCATGGTCATGTGGCCGGCATGACTAAACACCAAGGCGCACGGAACGCTGTTACCTTCCCACCAAAGTGGTACCTATTTATGTACTTGCAATTTCTTGCTTTAGAACTGCTAGGTTGGCAGGAGCTGGAACTAGAGACGGGAGCTCACTCCGTCTTGCGGCACCCGGGTCTCGAACTGCTGAACTGCCGACCTTCCACAGCCTGCAGTTCAGCGTCTTAACCACTTGAGCCACCGCAGTGCCGATGGATAAAAACTAAGACCATGACGAGGTGGACGGCAGAGAAAGGGCTTAGGGAGGCCGGTTCAGATGGAAACTTCGTGGCCTCACCCGTGGGCCCGGCAGAACATTTCCTCTGTCTTGCAGGCCCTGCCAAACTGCATCAGGTTGTGCAGGGCCTAGATCTCATCTGGAAGAGTGTTCCACCAGGCTGGGGCCAGAGCAGAAAAGGCTCTGCCCCGGGCTGAGGCTAAATGCAAGCCATTCTCCTTGAACTAATCCCCGCCCCCACAACTGCTGTGTGCTCCTTAGGAAAAATATTGCTGGCACCTTGTATTTTTGTTCCTTTCTTCAGCTGATAGCAAATTCCAGGATGGCAAGTGTGTATATTTTTTATATTCCTATCCAGAATGAAGTGGGGGGGGGGCCCTAGCTAGGGGGCTTCTTTCCAGAGCTTGGAATGTGGCTGGAGTGTGCTGCTGCTTGCTTCCCAAGCTGGGATTTGGAAAGGCTGTGCTACCTAGTGGTTAGATCAGAGAGGTCGAGGATTCCGGCTATGTGGAAAGGAGGGTTGCCAGGTCCCCTGGCCAACGCCGAGGGGTGGCAGGCGTAGGGTTGCCAGCTCTAGGTTGGGAAACTCCTTGATATTTTGGGGATGGAGCCTGGGGACCTCAGTGGGGCACAACACCATAGACTCCCGGTGTTCCCTCTAAGAGGAGTTAGTGAGAGCTAACTCGCTGTTTTTCAGCCTCCAGCTCACAGATTTTTGTCTTCGCTCAGGAAGGGATGGCTCCAGAGCAAACTAGTTTATGCAGCAGCCAAATGGCTCGCTCACAACTTTAATGCCAGGAGCTCTCACAAAGTTGAATTTTTGCTCAGCTTAGAGGGAGCATCACTCCACCCTGCAAAGCATCCGTTTTCTCCAGCAGAACTGACCTCTGTTGCCTGGAGATGAGCTGTAATTCCAGGGCATCCCCCGCTGGCATCCCCAGACTGGGTGTTTTGCACAAAAGAGAATCTCTAGCGTGGAGTCTGCAATTGGAAGAGTTAACTGAAGTGTGGCTTAACTGAAGCGTGGCTTTCCCAGCACTGGGTGAGCCGAGGGATGGACGGGAGTGTTCCTGTTCCCTCTCTCCTGCCAGGCAGCGCTAGCAGCCAAACTTCCAGGCCAGAAGAATGTTTAGTAAATGGGCCTGCCTGCTGCCCCCCCCCCCCCCCCATATTCTGGGATGGGCAGAATAAGGGACCGGGGGAATATGAATAAGGGAACGGGGGAACTGCATACCTGCTGCCGGGCCTGACATCCTTCCTGCTCTGTAATTTTAAGGAGGGGAGCATTTTCGCAGCAGACCAGAGTAGCTGTTTTTTGTTTCTGATGTAGACAGCTAAGAAGAAGAAGAGATTGGATTTATACCCCACCCTTCACTACCTGAAGGAGTCTCAGAGTGGCTTACACTCTCCTTTCCCTTCCCCTCCCCACAACAGACACCTGTGCAAGTGGAGGAGTGGGGAATCAAACCCGGTTCTCCCAGATTAGAGTCCGCACACTTAACCACTACACCAAGACAAGGCACCCCCCTTCTTCTGCATGCCCTGCTATTATAAATGCAAAATATGTCTGTAGGGAACTACAGGGATACCACTCTCTCCAAAAAGACATCACAATACACTTCCCGGTTCTTAAAAAGCACTTTTTGTTTGCTCTACAGAGCCAGGGTTACCAACTCCTGCCAGGGGAATGCCTAGGGATTTGAGGGAGAAGCACCTGGAGAAGGAGAAGCAGCTTTGGGGAGGAGCAGGATAGGGTTGCCAGCCTCCAGGTGGGCTCTGGAGACCTCCCGTTCTTACAATTGAGCTCTAGGTTAAAGCGATCAGTCCCACTGGAGAAGATGGCTGCTTTCCAGGGTGGACCCTATGGCATTGTACTACGCTGAAGTCCCTCCCCAAACCCCACCCTCTCCAGGCTCTGTCCCCCCAAATCTACAGGTGTTTCCCAACCTAGAGTTGGCCACTCTAGAGAGGGGCACCAGCAGAACGTAGAGCCACAGAGTCCACCCTCTGAAGCAGCCATTTCCTCCAGGGGAACAGATCTCTGTTGTCTGGAGATGAGTTGTGATTCTGGGAGATCCCCGGGCACCTCCTGGAGGTTGGCAACCCTATCTACAGCCCTGTTCATATGTTGCCGTGTGATCGCACATATACGTTCTGTATGCGCATGCTGCATCAGTTTGTAAGAAAGAGCCTATCTGCATTCACTTTGCAAATGAAAGCGGGGACCAGACCCTGGATCAATGTTGGATTTCAACCACATGCTCGGCTGTATGAGCACTGAGTGTAACATCATGAGAATACTCAATGTACATATAAATAAAAATCAAGTGTATACTGCACACGGATTGCGTGTGGGTTCCCTGTGACTTGGCCTGGAGTGTTTGCTCTTTAATGAGCTCCTGTCATTCCCATTTGAGACAGTGAACTTGACCAAGGCTGTGTAAGGAAGTCCAAGGCAGAGGTGGTGCTCAGAAAATCTAGCCTCAAGCTCTGTGGAGTCCTGCTGGCTCTCAGATTATATTAGCTATTGTGTTCTCTGTGTCGAAATACTCATTTCTGCATATGTGTCCATGGTGCCGTCAGAGAAAAATGCACTGTCTGAACTCTGACCTTGTCTGTGGCAATGGCGGCTGTTGACGATTTGAGGCCAGGAATCCTTGCAAACGCAGTTTGCAGATGTGTGTGTTCAGATCACTCTTTGACCTACAGGGCCTTTCTCTTTTACTTGATTCCTGGGAAGGGGGACGAGGTGGGGAGAGGAGAGGAGAGGAGGAGGAGGGATCCCTGGAACGTCCCTGAGCGAGCACCCTAGAGACAGGTTATCGTCTGTAAACATTGCATAGCTGTTTTCAGCCTGGCAAAGGCCCGTTGTCGTAGCAACGGGTCTTTGCCCTCCTTCTGTCAGGGCCAGCCAGGCCATTACAGGATGTGAAATAGAAACTCCAGCAGCAGCTGTTCCAGGAGCCATTTCCTCCTTCCTCTCCCCCACCCACAATTTCCCTTTCCACCTGGTATGGGGACATTTGATTAATATAGCAGAGTTTGCCCAGTCCTAGAAGCGTGATACTGAGTGCAGTGAAGACCTCTCCCAAGAACTATATTGCAAAAAATGGTAAACTTACATTTATTCGAGTCGATCTAGCTCACATTCAGGTTGCCGTTGAAAGAAGAGGAAGAAGCCTAATCGAAGAGTATGTTCCGTGTCGCATACGGTCAGCTTGTGCAGCATCACGCGTGTGGGAATCTGAGGGCATTGTCTCTACAGGAGAGATCCGTAGAGACGTGTCTCTCCATGGAAGGCCATGTGTAGTGCGTGAGAGGGCCAGAGGGCAGCTCCCAGGTTAAGACAAAGAGAGGCATCCCATTCAGGGAAGAACACCCATACACCCTTAGAGTGATATAAGGTAAAGGTAAAGGTTCCCTTGCTCGAAAGCCAGTCGAGTCCGACTCTAGGGTTGCGGTGCTCATCTCCGTTTCAAAGCCGAAGAGGCAGTGCTGTCCGAAGACGTTTCCGTGGTCATGTGGCCAGCATGACTAAACACTAAGGCGCACGGAACGCTGTTACCTTCCCACCGAAGTGGTACCTATTTATCTACTTGCAATTTCTTGCTTTCGAACTGCTAGGTTGGCAGGAGCTGGAGCTAGAGACGGGAGCTCACTCCGTCATGCGGCACTTGGGTCTCGAACTGCTGAACTACTCACCTTCTACAGCCTGCAGTTCAGCGTCTTAACCACTTGAGCCATCGCAGCAGTCCATAGAGGGAGGGAGCCCCCCCCCCCCCAATGTACAGACATGCTGAGTCACTCATTCTAACAATCGTCTGTAAACATTGTAGGGCCAGCTGACAGATGTGAAATAAAAGGTCCAACAGCAGCTGTTCCAGGAGCCATTTCCCCCCCCCCATTTTCCTTTTCACCTGGCTGCTCTGGACACCCCCTCTCCTCATTGTTTCTTCAGCTTTTCCTGTATCTATCCCTCTTCTTGGCTATTTCCATTTTACCACAGGGCTGCCAGGGTCATTCTCTATTTTATGAAGTGAGACCCTTCCATTTTGGAACGCTTCTCTATATTCCGTTTCCCTGCCCCTCTGCTTCCAGTTCTTACTCCACATCGATTGACTCCTCTAGCACAAGTGTTGCCAGCTGCACATTCAGGATGCAGGGGGAAGGCTGCAGGTTCCTCTCCTTGTGTGCTAGGACCAGTGTTCCCTCTAAGCTGAGTAAGTGTGTGCTAGCTCACAGTTTTTCAGCCTCCGGCTCACGCATTTTTGTCTTGGCTCAGGGAGGATGTGGCACCAGAGCAAACCAATTGATGCAGTAGCCAAATCGCTCGCTCACAACGTCAATGCCAGTAGCTCACACAGTGGAATTTTTGCTCACAAGACTCCACAGCTTAGAGGGAGCATTGGCTAGGACCCCAGTCCAAATCGGGTTTATGTGTGCCTAGGGTTGCCAATCTCCAAGTGGGGCTTGAAGTTCTCCTGGAACTACAAATGATCACCAGAGATCAGTTCCCCTGGAGAAAAAAGCAGCTTTAGAGAGTGGACTCTGTGGCATCAAATGCCCGCTGAGCTTCCTCCTCTCAAGAAGCTCTGCCCCCAAATCTCCAGGAATTCCCAGTCTGGAGTTGACAACCTTATAGCGTCCCTGGGGTCCCAGGGATCTGGTTCAAATTCCCACTGCACCATCAAGCTTCCTGGGGAGACCTTGGAGCCAGTCATATATTCTCAGGCTAGCCTACCTCAAAGGGTTGTTGTGAGGACACAATGGGGCAGGGAGAACTACGTATGCTGCTCAGGGCTCCTTGGAAGAAGGGCAGGATAAAAATGCAGTTGACGGGAAGATTGTATCGGTAAAGTGATACCGATGGCCAAACAACCCAGGGATGGACCTCTCCTCAGAACTGCTGGGTCATCTCTTTTGTCCCGCTAAGGATAATTTTACCTCACATCAACTGCCAATGAGTGGTAAGGTAAAGGTAAAGGTTTCCCTTGCTCGAAAGCCAGTCGAATCCGACTCTAGGGTTGCGGTGCTCATCTCCGTTTCAAAGCCGAAGCGC